GGTGGCAAGGCCTGGCCCTGCCGCCCCGGCTGCGTGGCCTGGAAGGTCAGTGTCCCCGCTGGTGCTCCATCTCCCCGTTACACCGTGGCCTTGAAGACCTTGCAGTTCTGCTGCCCGGATCCTGCGGGGTCCACTGAGATGGTGGGACCCCTCCGGGCTGACCTTCCACAAGTTTGGAAATGGTGCTGTAGCTGCACATCGAGGGGGGCAGTACAAGACCCACTGACAAAGGGAGACATTGAGGCTCAGAAGCTGGTCAGAGCGAACAGTGGAAGGCAGCGCGTTTTGCAGACGAGGAAGCAGGTTCAGAGAAGGCCCGTTTCTGCTCACCGTGGAGCCGGGCTGCTCCCGCCCGAGCCACAGGCCAGGGAAGGACCATGGGACAGGCCTAACCGCGCGCTCATGCCGGGCCGGACACCCAGCACAAGTACGGATGCCGCGGGCAACCTGGGAGGCCACGGAGGCGGCTCCGTTCCACAGGCGAGGAGAGGAGGCGAGGAGGCTCCGAGCAGTGATGGGACTTGCTCAGCATCACCCAGCCAGGCTGTGGCCGAGCCGGGCCCTGCACCAAGTCGGACTCCCAATGGCTCTCCTGTGACACACAGACCCCACCCGACTCATCCACTCCCTCATCCACGCATCCCTCCTGCACAAGTGCACGCATTCCACAGGCCCGCGAGCCGCCCAGGTGCTGGCGTGAGCTACCCCGGTGGCCCGTGGAGTGAGTTGGGACGTTCTTCCTGCCCCTGGGAAATGCGGGTTCAGGTGGCATAGCCCCCCGACACGTAAGTTAACTAACAAACCAGCCAGCAGGGGCTAAAGGCAGGAGCGGTGAGGGTGGTTTGGGGAGCGGTGATCCTGGAATCAGGAGCAGCTTCCTGGAGGGAGGGACACCTCAGCTGAGGCCTCAGAGCTGAGAGGAGCGGGTGGAGGGACAAGAGAAGGCGTCCAGGCCAAAGGACCAGTCAGAGTCAGGGCGGGAGGGTGCGGGGCTGCCAGCCATCAGCACCGCCGCCCCAGCCCAGCCCCTCTACCTGACAACTAGACACCTAAGAGGCCTGACTCTAATTCCATTTGGGTTAAAAGGAGAAGGAAAAAAAGAAAAACCAACCGTCCGCTTCCCGCCTGGTGCCTGGGAAATAGAATAAAACTGCCAGCTCCGCTCTAGCCCAGATGAAAGGAGAAAACCCGGCTTCCGCTGTAATTACATCTGACTCACAAAATGGTCCCGAAAGGGGAGTGGGGCCCCGCGAGGGGGCCCCTCGGTGGGGAGGGCTGGGGCCCGGCATCAGGGCTAAGTCGGGGCCCAGATGCTGCTCGGAGCCACCAATTTCCCCGCAGGCCAAACGACACTCGACATGCGGGAGATGAAAAATGTGGACGCTGACAGCCCATAATTGCACATCGCCCCGCTCCGAGCCCCACGCGCTGCACGCGCGCTCCGCCCGCAATTGATGGCAGAACCGCCGCTCCCGGAAAGGTCACCCGCTCGCTCCCCGACTCCCACGCGCTCCGCCCGCAATTGATGGCAGAGCCGCCGCTCCCGGAAAGGTCACCCGCTCGCTCCCGGAAAGGTCACCCGCTCGCTCCCCGACTCCCTGGCAACAGCTGTTTCTCCAGTCAAGTGCACACCTGTTAATCTTTTCCTAATGCACCATCCATCACTACCGCAAGCCTTTCTCTGGGAGAGAGACAGTGAGCGGGAGAGACAGACAGACCGACAGACGAACGTAGACACAGTGAGACCAATTGGGGTGAGTGAAGAGAAATGGGGGCAGCCATGAGAGAGATGGGTAGAGAGAGACGGACAGACAGACAAACATAGGCATGGAGAGTGAGAGGCAAAGGCAGGGTGTGGAGAGACAAGACAGAAAACACAGATCAACACATAATGGACCAGGATCATGATACCATGGGAGTCAGCGAGAGAGCAGGAGGGCAGACAGACAGACAGACAGAGGCTGTGGAGAAGTGGCAGAGATGGTACAGACCCACCCAGTGGAAGAAGAGATGCCAAAGGGCAGAAAAGCCAGGTTAGGCCAGAGGCAGGAGGGTAGAGGGCAGGAGAGGGGCAGGGGCAGGGCCAGCTCACCCCTGCCAGTGCCAGGCGTGGGAGGCACCAGGCGGCCCCACCTCTGGCCATTCCTGCAGAGGCAGATAAAGGACCAGCTGGGCAGGGGTCTAAACTGCCCCCAGGAACCCTGGGGCCCAGGCGTCCCCGTGATAGTAACGGCAGCTGGTATTAACGTTCCCACACGCCAGGCGGTGCTAAGCACTGTCCATGAATTACCTCATCTCAGCCTCAAGCATTACCCTGTGGTGTCCCCATTTTACAGACAGGAAACCTGAGGCTCAGAGAGGAGAGGTGACGGCCCAGGGCCATGGCCGGCCAGTGGTGGCATCGGATCTCAAACCCAGGTCTCCTCCCTGGGCCCAAACCCCTTCACCTGCCCCACTTTCCTGGCTGGAGGGTCCAGTTCAGCGCAGGCATGTCACCGCCCTGCTTACAAGCCTTCCATGGTTCCCCACCGCCGTAGGGATAAAGCCAGCCTCAAAGCCCTCCATGGGTGGACAGCTCCCCGCCTCCTGGGCTGGCTGCCCACCCCGTGTGCACATCCTCCTGAGGACTCTGAGCCCTTCGGGTGGAGCCTGTGCCTCTGGTCCCTGCTCCTGTCCCTCCTCTGCCTCACTGATGGACCCTAGTCACCCTTCAGGACCCATCTCCAGTATCACTGACTCTGAGAAGCCTTCCCTGACTGCAGCCCATGGTGGTGCCTCCCTCCCTCAAGCCACCACAGAGCTGGACTGTTGGGCACTAAGCCACCCCATCCTCATCTTCCCAGGGTCACCCCAGACCTGGGTCGGCAGTGACTTGGGGGCTGCTGAAGGGAGAATAGAGCCTGCTTTGACCCACCCGCTGAGCTGGAGGCCTCGAATGCAGTCCCCGGGGAGCTGGGGCCAGGGGACATCCCCCGCCTGGGTCACCCCTGCCCAGGAGGCTCCCTGTACGCCTGTCCTGCTGCCCATTCAGCCCCACCCTCTGTTTTCTGTTGTCCAGCTTGGCGACCATCCTCCAACTCCAGGACAGTGGAGCCCAGCTCCGGAGGGGTCGCTGGCCTAGACAGGTGACTGCCGAGAGCGGGAGAAGTGGGTGTCTCCCCATCCCACCTCCTGTCCCCTTAGTGGAACCTCCAATTCAACCTCAGAACCCCAGCGCCAGCTCTGACAGCTGCTCACCGCCACCTGGGCAAGCCATCCCCACTCTCTGAGCCTCAGTTTCCCCGTCTGCCCAGTGGGGATAAGACGCCCACTCTGCCTACCGCCCAGGGCGGCCATGAGGGTCACCCCGGGAAGAGATGTGACCAATCCTGACAACAGGTGACGATGGCGGCTCCGGTGCCCAAGCTGACCTCACCCACATGCTTGTCACTCAGCCTCAGTTAAGGACAGTCTGGGCCCACCCTCCCCGCAGGATGTAGGGGGAGGGAAGGGTAGATGTCGGCACCATCTGACCACCTCGTGGGCAGGGCAGCCATGAGGGTCACCCCGGGAAGAGATGTGACCAATCCTGACAGCAGGTGACGATGGAGGCTCCGGTGCCCAAGCTGACCTCACCCACATGCTTGTCACTCAGCCTCAGTTAAGGACAGTCTGGGCCCACCCTCCCCGCAGGATGTAGGGGGAGGGAAGGGTAGATGTCGGCACCATCTGACCACCTCGTGGGTCACAAGAGACCCCAGCCCGGCTGACACGCCTTCACCTCTCTCCCAGGCCGGTCCCTGAAAGGAACATCCTCCTGAGGACTCTGCAGCCTCGAGGAACCTGGGGATGCTCCCTCGTGATTTGGGCAGCAGTGGCCACCTGACGGCCACGGGGACCTGTGATCTCACCTCTCATTTGAGTACCGTGACCCGAGCGGCGGCAGCCCCCCACTTTACAGATGGAGTAGGGCAGGAGTGCCCGGGCTCTGTGCCCCCTCACCACCTGCCTCCGTGGTGGCCACACCAAGGTCCCTGCCAGCAGAGTGGGCAGCCGCAGCGTGGCGGGGCCCCTAGGACGCCTCCCCTCAAGGTCATAGCCCTGCAGGAGAGGGGCTGTGCTCACCTGCCTTCTCCCCTTCTCTCCCTGCTCCTTCCGGCCCTGGGCCACCTCTCTCTGCAGGCGCCTCTCAGACAGGGCAGCTCAAAATAAACACAGGGCGGGCCGCTTCCCACTGAGCAATGTCTGGGAGTCGGGGAAGAGGGAGCAAAAATACCCCCGCGCGGAGCTCTGCCGAACAATGGCTGCCACTCGGAGCTGCTTTAAAAAGAGCATTTTAAAAATTCTCCCTCCCCCTCACTGTTCCTTTCATTGATTTTTGAGGTTCCAGGCAGCAGAGGGTAAAGTCACCCTGAAAGTGGTGGTGTAAGGCTCCAAGAAAAGATTCAGAAACAATTCGCAAGCACCTACTATGTGCCAGGCTTCCTAACGCAACTCACCCTCCCAGCCACTCTATGAGGAGGTTGTGAGGACTCAGTGCACCACGCAGGCTCTGGGCCTGCCGTGTAGTAGGTGCTCAGTTAATGGGAGCTGATCCCTATGAGGGAAAGAGGAGAAACCGAGGCAGACCCTATGGAGGGGCAGGTGACTTGCCGGTGAGAACAGCTTCTCCCGGCCTGAGGGGGGGCCCATGGGGCGCTAGGAAGAAGAGGCTCCACCACATCCGAGGCTAGAAAGCTTGCTCAGGCAGGATATGGCGGAGGCGGAGGTTTGGGCAGGGACCCTGGCCTGGCCTGAGGCTGGAGCCCAACAGGTAGAGGGAGAGATTGAACCCAGAGCACAGAGCGGCCCCCGCTGCTGTGTTGCCCTGGAGGGGACCACTGAGAACACAGGGACCAGTATTATCCTGGCAAACGGGCCTCTGAAGAACAACCCTGACGGTAGCATCCGCCAACTTCCATGGTGTAAACACTTCCTCCAAGGCCCATTTCAAGCTCCCAGCTGTTTCTAACAACAGCCTTGCAAAATTCCTGCGTGAGAAAATTGCTCCTGCCAGCCGGTTCCAGCAAGCCACTGGGGGACAGTGCCCAGGTTCGGTGACAGGCCCCCTGGGTGCCGCCCCACTGGCACCAGCACCCACAGCTCCTGTTCCCTGTGGGGCCTCCCCCAGAAATGCTGGCCTCCCGCAGGCCTGAGCCGGGCAAAGGCCACAAGGCTGGACCCCAGGCCAGGGGTCGGCTGCCTTCTCCCCAGCTCTCCCCTGCAGAGCCTTCCCCGGCCTCCCGAGACCTTTGTAATTAAGCCAGATCGGCTGGCAACCCAGCAGCTCTGCACAGTGTCACGGCAGCCCCGGGGGCCGCATTGAAGTAAATGGAATGGGTCCTGCGCTTGGCAAACTAATGAAGAGGGAAATGAGAGTGTGGCCCACCGCGGGGCGCTGCGGGCGGG